CAGTTTCTGAATTGCAGCCCAGGAAATAAAGCAAAACAAAAAGTGATTATTTCAGTTGAATGAGGAGACAGGAGTCAGAATCTGAGGCTGCCCAGGCACCTGAAATTCAAAGGCAAAATCCCAGAAAGAAGGGAATTGAAGAGAAGAGGCTCAAAATGCTGCTTTCCATTTTTCTTTCATTGGCTGATTACCAAGATGTGCTGTTCCAAGGGAAAACAAAGCCAGGCTCTGGGAAGCTAAAGGTTTGCATGGAAATTCTGGCAGCCATGCAGTACTGGAAAGCCAGAAATGGGAGGGAATGCCTAGTAGGGAGTGTGTATGGGGGTGGGGGTGGTGTTGGTAAACACCCGTGGCTTCCAGGCGAGAGCACAGAAAACCTCAGCCTCGGATTGGCTTTCTCCCCAGCATGGGCTACACAGCCTATGAGTAAGGGCAAAGGTGAAGTATGCCCCAGCTTCAGGTAGGTCCCAACGGCATCTAAAACCAAGCCAAATTGCCCAGACTGCTGCTCTCACCCCTCTCCAAGCACAGGGACCCTCCTCCAGTTGGCCTTGGCCCTTGCCCAGCTTGCTCTGCAGTGCTGCCTGTCCCTGAGTCAGCACTCTGTATGCTAATTACCACAGTGGTGACATCTTCTAAGGCAAGGCCCATCTGTGGTCATTTTTTCCTGACTTGTTTATCAAGTTTCAGCCACTCATTCTTCCACATGAATCAAACACACATCTTTTTCTGTTTCAGAAACAGTGTGTCCTTTGCCAAAGAGTCAGCGAGGATCACCCATGAATACACATGAGGAGACAGACTGCAAATGGGTAAAGTGGAAAACATCATTTTCATTTCCAAGCTGTTCATGGCCAAATGGCATGCAGAGAGCCCAGCAGTGCTCAGTCCAGATGTGGCAGGCTCATTCACCAAGCAGCCCTTCTTTCACCTCACACAGCTGTGCAGAGACTCCTCCCTGGGTTAGGAAGCAGGGAAAGGTGAGGGGAACCGGGCCCTGCCTCAGAAATTCCTGCTTCACTAGGAAGCCAGAGAGCATTAGAACTGGGTGGAATAGAACGGGGGCTGTGTAGATGGACAACCAGCACTAGTGGAATGAAACTCTCACCAGGGAGATGAAAGGAGGCACCTCGGGGATACTGGCACTCCAGTAGGGAATTAAAAGATGGACATGGTCTCATAAGTAGCTAGGAAGAGGCAGAGGGAATTTGTGAGCAAAAGCCTAGGAGTGGGAAAGATAAATTAGCCAAGGCATGTTTGCAGGTGTGGTTTGAGGGAACAGGTGGGAGACATGAACTGCCAGAATGACACTCCAGGACAACGTGAGGATGCAATGTGCCCTAGAGGGAGCACCAGGGTGCAAGCAAGGCACAATTCCAGTCGATGGAGGGGGGCAGGTGGGGAGAGGATGGGGATGAGGGTGAATGAAAAGAAGTTGTTGGTTGTAAGTGACTATTACACTAATTTCCATTGCATAAATGGAAGGATTCACATTTCTAGATTTAAAAAAAGGTGTGAGAAGGAGTCTTAAAATTAATGTCATTAATCAGGACACAGCGTGTTCAAAAGACTGCTTTGGTTTCAGAGTCCTGGTGATATGGTTTGAATGTGTCCCCACCCAAATCTCATCTTGAATTATAGTTCTCATAATCCCCACGTGTCATGGGAGGGACCCGGTGGGAGGTAATGGAATCACGGGGGCGGTTTCCCTCATGCTGTTCTTGTGATAGTTAGTGAGTTCTCACGATATCTGATGGTTTTATAAGGGACTTTTCCCTTCTTGTTTGGCACTCATTCTCTCTTCTGCCACTCTGTGAAGAGGTGCCTTCCGCCCTGATTGTGTTCCTGAGGCCTCTCCAGCCGTGCGGAACTGTGAGTCAATTAAATCTCTTTTCTTTATAAATTACCCAGTCTTGGGTATTTGTTCATAGCAGGGTGAGAATGGACTAATACACCTGGTAAGAATCTGTCCACAGACTTCCACGTTTGCTCCTTTAGAATAGGAGTCCTCAGTGTTTCTTTTTTTATTATTTTTATTATTTTTGTGATCATCCAGCCCAAAATGTCAGTCCCAATATTTTTGATTGCACAACAAGGTTAAAAAAAATTGAACATGCACTGCAAATGTGTGTATATTTGTTATTCATGCATCCTCTGCATATTTATGATACCATTATCCTAATATATTTGCATACATTATAAAAACACACCATAAGAGATAGTAAACTTTAAAGAAAAACTAGACAGGATATCTCTCCCTCCTCAGTGGTGCATCCTGCCTCACCCCTCAGTCACAGGTGGCCCCATGGAGACCACTCACTGAGAACCCACGTTTTCAGCCTGACTGGCTCCTTCGTCAGCAGACTCACACTGTGGCAGTCTCCCCTCCTCTCCACCAGTTTTGTTTCTCAGTATTACTTTGCTCAGCTCAAAAGTTACCTAGATGTAAGGACCCTCTTAAATTCTCCCTTTTGACTATTTCTTTTCTTTCAGCCTCTCTCTCTGTGTTCCTCCCACTGACTCTCAACTTCAGGGAAAAGGGGAAGGTGCAGGGAAGAGAATCTGGACTAGAAGTCCTGGAAGCTTTCAGCCTTGGGCTCTGAGCAGCTGTGGACAATGCTCCAGCCACTGCGGGCATTCCGAGGATGAAGTGCAGCCGTTTATGTGGAAGGGTGCTAGGCACGTGCTATCGTTTGAATATTTGACCCTTTAAACTTCATGATGAAATTAGATCCCCAGTGTTAGAGGTGGGACCTCATGGGAAATGTTTGGATCATGTGGACGAATCCCTCATGAATGGCCTGGTGCCATCCTTGCTGTAATGGGTGAGTTCTCGCTCTTAGTTCCTGCCAGAGTCAGTTGTTAGAACCCGGCACCTCCCCCCATCTCTCTTGCTTCCTGTCTCCCCATGTGATCCCTGCTTGTGCCAGCACTCCTTCACCTCCTATCATGAGCAGAGACAGCCTGAGGTCCTCACCAGAAGCAGATGCTAGTGCCATGCTACTTGTACACTCTGCAGAACTGTGAATGAAACAAGCCTCTTTTCTTTGTAAATTACCCAGACTCAGCTATTCCTTTATAGCAAAATGAACAGACTTAGACAGTATGCCTGCGCAGAGAAGGGCCCATAAGCCAATGCTGGTCTCTCATCTGCTCGCGCCTGGCAAACACAATTCCAGGATCAATTTGGAACACCTTCTACTGTCACCCAGGCCTACCCACTCTGGAAACAGATATTTATCAACATAATTACCAGCTTGCATTACCATCTCTTATCTGGCAAAGGCAGGGCAGGCTCCGTACTCTCTTCCCTTGCCCTGGGGGTTGGCTTTGTCATGACCCTCCATACACTCACCTCAGTCTTCCAATCCAGAGGCCACTCTTCTTGGAACAGGGTCAATTCCCAGCCTAGACACTCACTGTCAACTCTTTCCGAATACTGGACTGGGCCCTCGTGTGTTGCTGGGAGGAGACCATCTCGGGCCTTTGTATACTGGGAGATAGTGGGAGCTTGGGGAGGGGCGTGAGTCTCCTTTTACTTTCCTGCTGACCTGCTGGAGGCCTTAGGTCAAATTTTAATTTGCACAGGAGCAATACCAGTATTCATCCAGTTCAGGTCGTGCCCTAAGCCCACCACTTGGACACCCGTTTCCTCTTTCCTGCAGACACTAGGCAGCAACTGTCACTGGTCAGACAATATATTTCAGAGCAGGTGTATGTATGTCAGAGGTTACTTTTTTTTTTTTTTTTGGAGATAGAGTCTTGCTCTGTCACCCAGGCTGGAGTGCAGTGGTGCAATCTTTCACTGCAACCTCTGCCTCCTGGGTTCAAGTGATTCTTGTGCCTCAGCCTTCCAGTAGCTGGAATTATAGGTGCATGTCACCACATGTTTATATTTTTAGTAGAGATGGGGTTTCACCGTGTTGTCCTGGCTGGTCTTGAGCTCCTGAGCTCAGGTGATCTGCCCACGTTGGCCTCCCAAAGTGCTGGAATTACAGGCATGAGCCACCAGACTTCAATTACTTCCTTAGAAATTAGGCATCCCCTTAGAAGTGATAGATTTTTATGGCTATCTGGAATATTTAAAATCAGAACTTTCTATCTAGCCAGGTACCGTGCCCCCTTACATCCATCTTTCACCAGAAGTTTCATAAAGTCAATCCTTTGTTCAGTTTTACTAAGAAAAATCTCAGCTTCAGTTCAGTCACTGGGAGGACATGGTCTAAGGAGTAAATAGTTTCTGAGATCCTGTCCTCTGAACATGAAAAATTCTGGTTAGCTGGTAGGAATCCCAGAGCTCCAAGCTGACAGCCCTCGCGTGAGGCTTGTGGGCGAGAACTCCACATGTGGACCGCATGTTAGTAAAACAGAGTCATCCATAGTTCAAAGCCATTTGAGACTGCACAGGTCAGTCCCATTATTCGTGGAGTCTATTTGTGATTTTGCCTACCTGCTGAAATCTATTAGTAACCCCCGTATCAGTACTCATGGTGCATTTGTGGTCATTCACAGACATGTGCAGAGCAGGAGAAATTGGAGTCACCAGCACTCGTGTTCCTAACTGAGCCGGAGCAGGGCCTGTGTGTTCCCTGCCTGTTTGTTCCAGCTTTTGTACTATAAACAAGCATCCTTCTCCTGATCTATTTTGCCATGCGTTCCACATTTTTGTGCTTCTGTTGGTGATTTTGCCAGTTTTAAATGGTTCTCAAGCATAGTGCAGAGCACTGTCTGGTGTTCCTAAGAGTGAGAAGGCTATGATGTGCCTTATGGAGAGAGTATATGTGTGTTAGAGAGGCCTGGGTTATGATGCTATGGGCTGTGAGTTCCCTGTTAATCAACAATTTACACTAATTACATTACCTTTAAAAAGAAAGATCTTGTGGCACGTCCTGCCCGCCCTCACCCCTGAGCAGCATGCACACCTCCCTCCATGGAGACAACTGTTTGAGAATGCAGGTTTTCATCCCGATGCTTTTGACTGCAAATGCCTTCACAGTCTAACCTCAGAGGGTCTGTGCAAAATTCCCTGGTGAGGGGGCCCACAGGCTTCACAAGATTTCCAAATGGTTTGTGAATCATAGACACTTCAGACTCAGTTCTCTAGAGAGTGAACACAATTGTGAAGGTCTTTTTTTAAAATCCTGAAGTGAAAGTCACAGAACAAATGTAACCATTGAAAGTGAACAGTTCAATGACATTTAGTGCATTGACAGTGTTGTGCAAGCACACCTCTATGTCAGTCCAAAACATTTGCATCACACCTCTCTCCCCTGCAAAAGAAACCCCATCAGGATTAAGCAGCTGCTTCCCATCTCCCACTACCCCCCTGCCCTGCTAGCAATTCATCTAATAGATTTACCTATTCTGGACCTTTCACATAAATGAAATCATATAACATATGACTTTTTGTATATGATTTTTTTTCTGATTTAGCATCATGTTTCCAAGGCTCATATAGCAGTTCTTGCAACAATCACCACAATAACAATGAGGATGACACAACAGCAGAAAATGCTTACGTTCCTACAGATGTGGTTCTGCAATATGTAGGAACAGACATTCTTTCTTGAGGCCCAGGGCTCAACTCCCTCCTCCACCTTGTAAATGGAGTATACTCTTGGGGTCTGAGATTGGGTGAGGCTTGTAACCTGTTTGGACCTAGCACAGAAGCCCTCCAGACAGGCCTCACAGTTGTCACTATTGTGTGGTCCTTCAAGAGAGATGTCCTTGATCATAGGAACCTCCTCTGTCAACTGAAATCTTCCTCTATAGCATTTCTTCATAATTCGGAGCACCAGGTTTTTCAGGATTCTTGAGATGTTCTCTTGCGTGAACTCAGGGTCCTCAAACAGAGGTTGGGGGCACTTCTTACATCTCTGGGTAAACACCCTCATCTTCACCTGGCCCCTGGACTTCTCCTCACTCCAGTGCATGTGGAAAAGGACCAGAACCTGGGCAGAGGCCCAATTACGAGAGCAGGAGGAGCACTGGAACCTGTGGAGACAGAAGAGAGCCTCAGCCTGGCTCCATGTGGCCAAATCACAGGGCACTGCCAGAGAGAGAAAGGAGCTACCAACCGCAGAGAGACACGACTTGACTGGGGCGGTGGCTCAGTGGTGGAAGAAATTACTAAGACCTCGTTCCCATCTCCACTGTGCCACTGACACGCTGCATGCCACACACTGTCTGCTATGAAAACAGTGAATTGCAAGTTGTTAGATCTGGGAGGGACCTTGGGCATCTTCTAAGTCCAACACGTTCATTTTAGAGATGAGGCACACTCTGGAAACTCCTCATGTCCAGAGACCCAGTGGGTGTAAAAAGGCATAACTGGGACTCTGGTCTCCCTATTCCAAAGCAAAGCTTCTTCAAATGTAGATTCAAATGGATCAGAGGCTACAACTGCAGCAGCAGCCAGTTCAGTTCAGGACCCTGAAATCCACAAATCCATACAGGTGAGTGTTGATTAAGTTATAGACTCATGAGTTGGCGGCAGGAGCCTGAAGAGTCCAGGATTCTCCTAGAGGAAAGCCTTTGCCTTTCTCTTGGCTGCCGAGGGTCCCCGGTCGGCAGTATTGCAGGGAGATCACAGCGTCCAGCTCTCTCTTCATTTGTTCCCCCTCCAACCCAGTTCCTTTGCTCAAAGTAGCCTGGAAAGCTTCATATTCTGAATGCCACTGGCTACAGACAGGGTACAAGAGAATGACACCTTGTCTCAGCAGGGAGGAGGGCAATTTTCTGAGCTAAGGTATCTGGACAAATACATGTTAGGAGGTAGAGAGAGAATAAGGCAGGAAGCACATGGCTGTACCCAGGAAAGGAATTACGGGAGAGGCAGAGAGCTGCAGTGTGGCGGAGACATTTAATGCTCACCAAATTATCCATGCACTCCCTCCCACTTCCCAGCCCCTTTGCCGTGAGGTTGGGGCCATGGGATCATTGGGCAATGAGATGAGGCCAGCAGTGATATATGTTCCTTCCAGATATGGTCACAGAAACCCTGGTAAGACATTCCAGCTTTCTCTTCCTCTGCTTCGGTGACCTTGGAAGCCACATATAAGGTTAAATCAGTGATATTTCCAGGTTTATTTGTCACTGTCACTGAGCCTAGCCTTGGCTTGATGCCTGGATACAGATTAGGCCACGGGTAGTGAATTGGAGAGGGCTGGGAAGACTGAGTTAGTCCAGGGCATGCTCCTATATCTTGACTCTAGCTGCAACCCACAGGGTGAGTGCAAGGTTGAAATGAGAGGGAGAGGTCAAGAAGCTGTGATCACTGTGAGAGGACCTTGCTGGGAGTCACCCAGAGTCAGCAGTGCAGAGGGACCTGGGCCCTGCTCTGAGCAGACGTCCACTGCCATGCCCTGGGTCTCAGTGCTGTGTTCCTGTGCTGGTTCAGAGTTCAAACTTCCCACAGACAAATGGACTGAGACTTTGGTGCAATGCTCCCTATGGCAGCTCCTGGCCTGAGAAAGCCATAGGCCAGTGGGAGGGTTCTGCTCCCTCTATGTAGACTCTCCCCTGGAGGGGGCAGCAGGTGGGACAGAGTCCCCAGCCTCCACCCTCTGTGCACTGTGGGCAGTCATCCCCGTCACCCTCCCAAGCCTTGAGGCTCCCCATTTCCACCTGGAAAAGAGAGGATGAGACTTAGGACGATTTCTAAGACTCCTATTTTAAAAAGATTCTATCAGCTCAGAGTAGAGAGGGGCAGGATTGCTGCCTGGTGCCCAGGCCCCCTGCTCCTCCGGCCTCCCCCGGGGGCGTCTCCTCAGTGCCGTGAGTCTCTCCTCCTAGGGGCTCCATGGTGGGTCCAACAGTCTCCCTAGGCAGGGGGTACATGCACCGCCCATGGGTGCAACAGCTGTCCTTCCCCCCCTCCCCTTTCCTGGCTGCTCCCTGTCTGCACCCCCGCCCGCAGACTGATTTCTCTGTATTCAGGCATTAGCTCACAAAAGTGCTCAGGCCTGCTCTTGTTTTGGGGTTCATTGTAATTGTGAAAAAACAATCTTTTTTTTTTTTTTTGAGACGGAGTCTTGCTGTGTCGCCCAGGCTGGAGTGCAGTGGCGCGATCTCGGCTAACTGCAAGCTCCGCCTCCCGGGTTCATGCCATTCTCCTGCCTCAGCCTCCCGAGTAGCTGGGACTACAGGCGCCTGCCACCGCGCCCGGCTAATTTTTTGTGTTTTTAGTAGAGACGGGGTTTCACCATGTTAGCCAGGATGGTCTCTATCTCCTGACCTCGTGATCTGCCCACCTCGGCCTCCCAAAGTGCTGGGATTACAGGCGTGAGCCACCACGCCTGGCCGAAAAAACAATCTTTAATGAAGTTAAAACTTCTTGGATGATGGGCATCTTATTTCCCATAGTCTTCAATTTGCAAGCATGGAATAGAACAAGAAAAGTAACAGGTATACCTAGTAAGAAATGCTCAAGGATTTTCTGGAATTCGTACCATCACATTCCCCCTCACCTGGCGAAGGTCCACCGCTGGTATTGCATCCAGCCTGGCTTCAGGACATTGGGAAGAAGGCCCTTGTCTGGTCTCAGGGTCCATCTGTGCCATGGCTTCACCTCCCGCATTAACTCCTGAAACATTTGCTTCCACACTTCTGTGTCCTGAGTCATCTCTGCTGTTACGGTGTGCCAGGGTGGGTTGAGCTCTCCTGGGCCCTGACAGGTCTGTAGTGGGAGATGAGGTTTCTCACTTCACAGGGCAAGGGCTCAGACCTGCCCTCCCTTTGAGGACCTGGATTGGGCCCATGGACCATGTCTCTGCCCCAGAGACAAAGGTCAGTTGGCTCCAAGTTCAGAGGATGGCACTAGGCTCCACAAGGAATTTCAAAAGGCACAGAACTTGTGATTTTATTCATCAAAATGTTGCCAAAGGAGAGCTCTAAACTCCAAATCAGGAGGAGTGCACTTCACTTCAGTCTGGCTCTGCTGTCTACCTGCCTGTGACCAGGAACACATCTTTTCACTTCCAGCACCCCTGTAAACGGTGGAGAGAGGCTGCAGGTGTTCTCTCCAGCTCTAACACTGGAAAATCCTTCTCCATCAGGCTGCTGTGCTCATGCTGGGGAGGAGAGGCACAGGGAAGAAGGATGCAGTGGTCCTGGGACCTCAACGGGATTCGGATTCCCGTGTCCTTGCTCCAGGCTCTTTACATTCCGGCAGACACCCAAGGCTGCCCACCCATGAGAAACCAAAGCTGACGCAATCACTGTTTGCCCAGGTGACAGGTACAAGGGCGCAGGTCGGTGAGAGGCCACTAGCCCTAGGCAAACCCAGAGTCACTGCCCTCCTCCCTGAGGGGATTCCCCATCCTCTACTTCCTACAAGAGAGGATGAGGAGGAAGAAGAGGGGAGATTAGGGAGTGGGTACCGGAGTGGGCAACACCCCAGGAAGGTACACAAGACTCTGGTGTCCGCATCCCAAGACCTGTCCACAAACTGCATGTGTCTTCCTCGGAGCCAGGCACTGGCCTATGTCCCTGGCCACCTCCCAAGAGGAGGAGAGGAAGGAAGGGAGCAGACCAGGGAGGAAAAAGGAAAGGAGGTTGGGGATGCAGGGGGACGAGGGGATCTTCTGGGGCACTTGGAAACAAAGCCACCTCCTTCCTCCTCTCCAGCCCAGCTGCCTGCAGCTCTTGCCCTTGGGTTCAGCTCCTTGGCAGGTCCAAGTCCTGGGCCTCCCCTCTTTCCAAGACAGTTTTGTTTCTCAGCATTAAAGCTATCCCTCAGTTCCAGGGGGATTGGTTCCATGGCCCCCCACAGATACCAAAATCCTTGGATGCTCAGGTCCCTTATATAAAATTACATAGTATTTGCATATAATCTATGTACATCCTTCCGTATCCTTTAATTGATCTCTAGATTGCTTATAATACCTAATATAATGTAAATGCTATGTAAATAGCTGTTATACTGTATTGATTTTAAACTGCGAACTAAAAATAAGATCCTAAGCCCCCAAACCAACTGAATGGACTCGCTTTTGGCCAAGGGGACCCCTGAGAAACCTGAAAAACTAAATTCCCAGCTAGATAGGAGGGGGGGTTGGAAACACCTTATCATACTCCCTCCTTTTGAGCTTAGGGACAACTGACCAGCATTGAGGTTAAAACAGAGATCATAAGACTGACAAAATAGACTGCTTGTCGCAATAAGATAACCACTTTATAAACAAGACCTAAGGCCGTGCACAGTAAAAGTTATGCCCTACAAACCATAATATCTCATTAAAGGGAGTTTTATTAACCTGATGTAATGGGGCTACTTTCCAACCTGACTGTGGTATACATCACATGACAGAGAGCAGACTCCCTTGACTTCAGCATTCCTTTTGCTGACTTCATCTGCACACAACGCTTAAGTCATTGCTACACCCCGAAAGAGATGTCCAACTTTGAATGTGACTATATTTGGAAAAAGGGTTTCTGCAGATGTAATTAACTGAAGGATCTAGAGATGAGATCAGTTTCATGAAATTTAAAGTTTCTTTTCATGGCAGGACATAACACAATGACAGGAAGATAGATACAAGGCAGAACTTTTTGTTAGTTATAACTCCAGACAAGGGAAGGCTGCCAGCCAGGCCCACACAGGGTGCCTGGGGACAGGGTAAGAGCCAGCTGGAGCTGTGAGGGGCAGTTTGTGGGTGGGAAGTTGGGTAGTTGCGTGGGGCTAGCTAGGTTTCATGGGCTCCCTGTGGATTGGCTCATTTAAATAATTCTGAGTGCTCCAGGGCATAGGGATTGCCCCTAGTTGTCTAGTACTATTACGGACAAAATTGGTTCCCCCTAAATGGGGTCTTTTCCTGTTTAGTGCTGCAAAGCCAATATGCAAAATCAAAAGTGAATCTTAAGCAGCACAAGTTTTATTCAATGGCCATGGAATTGAGAAGTGGGAGCTTGGCTCACAAATCAACTTCTCAACTAGTGAGGGAAGAAGGATTTCTCTAATGAAGGGGTTGAACATTAGAAACGAGGGGAGGAATAGTCATGTCTTTTCTGGAGATGGGTGGCGAACTTCCTGGAACTGGAGTGCTGCTTTCCTTTTTGTCCTTTTATGGCCTCTTTTGATCATGGTCATGGTGACTGTCAACCGTCATGGTGCTTGTAGGAGGGTCTTTTAGCATGGAAATGAGATTATAATAAAGCCTGAGATCCTTCTGAAGTCATATGATTGTCTATCTTCGTTCTAACCAGTCTTAGCTGGTCTGGTTACAAAGGGACATTTGTATCACAGGTGTCCTCTTTTTCAAAGATAAGCAGAGGTAAAATGGGGTAGAAATTCAGCTGTGTCACAGAGGCATTACACTAGGTAACAGTTCCTGGCCTTGGGATTATTAGGGCAGGTGCACAGTGATCAGGAGTGGCCAGATAAAAAAAGTGGTTGGAGTGTGGACTGACTCCTCTTTAGCCAGGGCCTCAAACATCATTAAAAAACAAAACTAAGCTATATTACAAGACAGTCCTGGATTTGGGGTAGGCCCTAAACCCAGTGACAGGTATCTCTATAAGGGAAAGGCAGAGTGACATTTGAGACACAGAGACCTAGGAGAAGGTCATATGGAGACAGAGCAGAGAATAGAGTTAAGCTGGCACAAGCCAAGGAACACCTGAAGCCCACAGAAGCTGGAAGAGGCAAGAAAGGATTCTCTCTAGACCAGCCTTTATAGGAGGCATGGCCCTGCTCATGCTTTGATTTTGGTCTTCTAGCCTCCAGAATTATGAGAGAATTCATTTGTATTGTTTTTAAGGTGTCCAACTTGTGATATTATGCGTGGAAGCCTTAAGAAATGATACACTGGTGTTTAACCCCCCTTGACTTCCCAGCTGTCCTGAGAGTTGGAGCCACCTGCCTGCTCTCTACAACAGGTAGAAGAATAGAAAGCAACTTCAGCACATACTTGCAATAGTGTGGGCCTTCCTTTTCCTACCTGCCACCACTTCCTTGGGTTCAGGTCCTCACTATCTGACTGGACAATTTTTATTTATATCCCCGAGTATTGTCTTTCAAAAATCATCCTTTACAGAGCTGCCAAAGAGCTTTTAAAAATTCAAATGCCACCCCCTGGCCAAGCTGGCCTCCTTGCTCTTCCTTGCACAGAATAAGCTGGCGCATGGCTCATTCTGTCAGTTCCTCTGGGCCTCCTCTTGAATTATTAGGGAGGCCTTCCTTAAATTCCCTCAATAAAGCAGCAAACCTCTCCCTCTCCTCCCACACTCTCTTTCCTTCTCACTATTCTATTTTTCCACATTTGCTTATTTTTTAATCATCTCCTGACATAGCCTTGCTTTCTAGGAAACTGCCAGTCCTGAGATAGAAAAGCAGGGAATTTTTGTTCATCTGAGCAGTGCCTGGATATTCAGTAATTATTTGAATGAATGTTGAATGAATTCTGTCCCAAATTCTGTTAACTCTATAGAACTATCCCAGTCTGGGGTTCCAGCGGTGGGAGGAGGGAGGATGGGGATGGTCTTGCAATTGCTCTTATTACAGTTTTTATGAGGGCAACTACAGTTTTCTGGATCTATGTATTCTCTGGGGAATCATCCATTTCCTCTCTGATAACTTACTTCTTTTTCTGTTGGAGCTTTCTGCTGTGTCATTATCTCAGACCTAATGACACTTAAATAATCCCCTTTTAGTTTCCCAACTGTAGGAGCCTTTGGATCAAGGTAAGCCTCTTTTCCCTTTCAAATGTGGCCAGCCTACCCTCTGTGATCTTATTCTCCAAGGAAATTGCTCTCTCAGTCAAGATTAATCAAAATGCTTTCCGCTATTTTTCTTTCCTTTTACACTGTCCCTGCGCTGAATGCAAGATCAAAAGTTTTACAAGCCAGTTTAGTTCTTCCTTGAAGCTGAGATGCGATTCCTAAGAACAGATTTTTCCAGGGCTGGGACTTTTAAATGTTTCCTTTGAATGACTGGTTTTATGATTCAACTGAGAATTTTTAACTGCAACCCAATGAGATGATTTGCCCTCCATATTCTAAAAGTTCTCATTTCTGATGATCTGTTCATTGGCTGAAACACACCACTCCCCTGAGATAAAATTCACAGCCTGCGCCAGGGCTTACGTAAATGAACAATCCAGAATCAATATGAGACCATGTGACTTTGGAAGTCTGTGGATGGCCACAGGAAATCCCTCCTTGCTCAGCAGTCAGGGCAGCTCAGGCAGTGGCACCTACTGAACCTAGACCAGATATCCAGGTGTGCTCCCAGGCTGCAGAGGTTCCTGACTCGCAGAGCTCCTGGGGCCTGCTCTTGCCACGGAAATGGAAAACCTCCAAAGTGGGCAGTGGCCCTCGCTGCTCCTGGTCCTTCTGTCTTCTGGAACTTTTTCGTCACTTGTGTGCTTCAAATTTGTTTTTTTTTTCATAATTCTATTGTCAATGCCATAAAAAGGCATACATATAAATGATCATTATTTTTATTAAACAGTTTTGGTCTACACAGCCTCCTCCCAGCCCTGTGGCAGGAAACATGAAGCGCCTTCAAAGGGGTGTTAGAAGAGCCTGCTGACCAAATACCAAATGTTTATAAGCATGTGGGGCAACAGGGACAAATATAGCTGCTGCTCTTAGAAATTAGTACAGCCACTTTGGGAAAGAGTTTAGGATTAAAGATACACATGCCCTGTTCAACAATTCTACTTGTATGTATACTATCCAGATAAGCACTTGCACATATAATATACTGATATGTATTAGAATACTTATAGAAATACAATTTTAAAATTGAAACAACTGGAACACCCCTCTCTCCTCTCAGTGAACAGATAAAAACTTTTGTTAGAGTCATCCAGTGGAATTCTATGCAGCAGTGAAAATGAATGAACTAGAGTAGGGTTTGGTGAATTTTGGCCCACAAACAAATCTGGCCCATCACCAGTTTCTGTGTGGCTCGAGAAATAAGAATAACTTATAAAGATGGATATTTGCAGTAGATAAGAAATCGTCACTTTGATGTTATTTTCCCCAAAAGAACTTCATTATTCTAGGTCTGTATTACAAAAAATGGATTTGATTATGATTATATGTAATAATATTATAACATTACATTTTGAATTTCATCAACAAAGTTTTGTAGAAATTTGTCTTCCTTCTTATACCTAGATGAGTACCTACATAGTATCTTTGATTTGCCTCTTGGTCCACAAAGCCTAAAATATTTATTATCTGGCTCTTTACAGAAAGAGGTTTGCCATTCCTTAAACTAGAGCTACATATATCAACATGGGCTTATCTCACAGTCATGGCATTGAGTAAAGAATTCAAGCTGCTGGAGCTTCTACACAGCAAAATACCTCTTATATGAGGAACAAAACCACAACGCCATCGCTTAGGAAGTCATGCACTTGTAGTTAAGAACATAAGGAAATTTATAAACATAAAGGAGGGTGGATGAGAGGTCCTATGGCTGTGCTGGGGTTGTGAGCCACCCTGGCTATGGCAGTATTTCCAGTTCAGGCTTGAGAGAGCGAGTGCTACCTACCCTTCTAAATGCCGCAAAGAGTATCACTGAGCAAAGGATGCCATGATCAGCACAGGGAACAGAGAACACGCTGGACTCGAAGGAGAGAAAGTGAATTTGTAACTTTGGGTTCCTTTAAACCTGGTTTTCTTGTGATCCCCGCTCTCTTACTGTTGAAGCTGTGGCCAACCTGTTCCTGAGACCAGCCTGCCTGAGTAACTCTGCCTGGCCTTCCTGTGGGGCAGAAGAGAGTATGTCTCATGTCCCTGGACCAGGTGACCCATGGTCAGTGGCTCCCAGGCCAAGTTCCAGGTGAGCGTTCAAGGCTGGGGTTTGAGAGTGGGATGCTAACCAGCCTCGCTGCTCCTGCCACCTGCCCAGGGACACAGGGCACCAA